TTTCTTCGGTGGGCTAGGCTTAACATGTCTTTAAGATGATGTGACAGAAGATTATTGTAATGAGAAATGCTATAGATATATACATAATATTGTACATAAGGATGTACATAACACTCACATTGAGTGTATCCTACCAAAAATAAAAAATTAAGTGAACCCCATTTTATATGAGTATTATGTATACCTCTATGTACATTTATTATGTACTTGTAGTATTTTTTTATTGCAATATTATACTAATGTTATGTTAAAGATCACAAAATCTTGACACAGACTTTTACGGTGGATAAGTGGAACATTTTTATTTATTTATATTGACTTTAGCTTCTCATTAGAAATTTTATATTTATGCTAATGATTGTGGTTTGATTCTCTTTATATATATATATATGTACACATTAAAAATTCAATAATGCATTTTTCAATCTATCTATCTATAAATATATAAATAGACGACATATTTACCTAAAATATCAGTGTTTTAGAAGTCGTTAGATGCCCTTTAACCGTTCGACTTGGCGGAGCCTAGAAATTAAGATTAAATACCTTATTTTTTTATTAATTTTCACTACCTACAAAATAAAACTATTTCTTATAATTACTCCACACACATAAGTCTAGATAACAATATTAATGTATTATAAAGAATACATGATAAAAAAATAATGTAATTAGTATTTAAAAAAAAAATTAAAAATCGCCGTCAAGCTCACCTAGGAATGCCTACACCCGCATAGGTGCTGCGCAGCTGCTTGGCCGCCGAGCCCGCCGAGGAGCGCCAAACCACAAATTGATTTTTTGTAATTAATGTTATAATATTTTGATAAAGATAAACATGCAAACAAATTTTAAGTTTTAACTAATAACCATATTATTATTATTTACTTTCAAAATTTATACTTTTTATCCTTAAATATTTATAGAAAATCATAATAGGTTAGATAATTTTTTTCTTTCTAATTAGTCTGTTGAAACCAAGTTGAATGACTGGACGGACGATTGAACGACCTGTCAAACGACCCAGAGATCTTGTGAAATTCTGATACTAGAATGACCATGAGGACCCTCGGACGACCTGGCCCATAGACGACTTGAGGACCTTTGGGCGACCTGGAATGTCCCGAATGACCTAAATAACCGAGGAACTCAAGATAACTCGACCTCGATGGACGAGCTATGAAACACATGATCTAGGAAAATCATCACGACTTAAGAAGCTTTACAAACTTAATCACATGAGATAAGAAAGAATCTTATGGAGATAAAAAGGAATCTAATGGTGACTAGGACATGATTAGGATAAAGATAAACACTAAGCAGATAAGATCAAGCCCAAGCAGCCGGGCAGGCTGACCGAATGCATTCGAACAGACTATTTCGGGTAGATATTTCCATATAAAAGGAGATGAGGTACACTCAAACTCAACTCTTTATTCTACATACATTACATACAACTCTTGATTACAGAGCATCTATCATCTTTCCTATGTACATCAACTTTAAATGTGTCGAACTATGGTACTTTATAATCCTATGTGACAATTTATGATGCCGGAGTAATCCATGTACATTTAGTCTTCTATGCACACATATTAGAGAACAATTTAAATTATATATATGTATATGTATATGTATATATATATGTATTAAATGATAATGTATTTTGTATTTATTATCAGTTTCTTTTGTAATTTATTAAATATATTATTTCTTTTCGAGTTTCGATCTAACATCCACATTAAATATGTAACTAAAATAAATAATTTTATTTGTTTTTATGATAAAATAAATCTATATATACATAAAAAGGTTTGATTATTTTTTAAATAGTAACTATTTCCCTCCAAAAAAAATTATTTACTATTTTGGGAAATTAATTTAACAATTTATGGTATATTTCAAATGATTACATATAGTAATTGCGGCTCATTATTTAAGGAAGTAATTAATCCATATTTTAAGATACCTTAATTACTCAAATCATTTGAATTTATTAATATATGGTATATAGTGGACGAAATTATTTTTGTTATTGATGGTTGTTTCTATAGGAAATAAATTAATCAATATATGGTATAAAGGGCAAATTTATTAGGTTATTTGATAACTTTTTTTTTTGTAGGAAATTTATTGAAAAAATAATCAATATACGGTGTACTTTTTTCTGTAATGTGCAGGCTAATATATTGGTTTTTAGGCGTAAGTTTCAATTTTTATTTAAATTTTTCATACAAAATTAACATAATAAAATTACTGTTATTCTGACAAAATAATATGAACTGATATTTTGATATAATGTGCATGTATTGATATTTTTTACATAATTTTTGTGTGAAATGCACTGTTCATTTTTTTAGCATGATAAAGAGTGTCGATTTTTTTGTCATATAAAATCTTATGACTGGTTGCTTTTACTCAACTACTTAAGTTTTTTGATTTGTATATATTATGCAAAAGTAAATTCATTTTAATTAATTACACAATATAATTTTTATATTTATACTTATTATTCACACAAGTTTTTAAATATAAGATAAAAATTTTACCAAAATATTTATTTTATGGAATCACGTTATAGTCAAATCGAATTTTTGAATAAAATTTTTGAAATGATACATATTTGAAATGATATAATGTAATTTATTATCAATTATGTGCAACGCACGGGATGATACTAATTTTAAGTAGACATTTTATGTAATTTTGTTTTATATAGCATTTTCTATAAATTATATAGGTACATTGTATTACATATTGATTCTATATTTTAAATTCATAAACATTATTTAATGAGAATTTTTAATTTATTAATATTAAGTAATATCTCTTACCTGTGCAAGGCACGGGATTCGTACTAGTTATCTATTAATACTAACTGAAGATTAATAAAATTATTAATCAATTAAAAATAATTATCTATAATGTCGTTAGATATGAATTTAAAAAAATTATTATAATATAAGACGAGTAAATCATAAAAATTTAAAGTATTACTTGAAATAATAATATATATATTTTCCTTAAAAAAGGTACTTAAAATTTAAATATTTTTTTTTTTAATTGAAGCATGTAATTCATGTGTTTGTACTAGTTCATATATATGATTTGTTCAGTCTCTTTCAACAGTCTTTTTAGACATTATGGAAAAATAGGTTTGGACAATCATTACAAAAAAGCAACTTAGGTTAGTTTTTCCAAAATAATTATGATGAAACATTTTTACAGATCAACAAAGCCTCAAAATTATTGTATTTCTCATGACACTGAAATTAAGTAGATATTTTATTTGACCTAATATGTTTTTCAAAATGAGAATCCATATAGGATCAAGAAAAAAATTATTCGGTTGAATAAGACATTTCTCTTGAACCTCCAAGATGTGCCGTACGAGAATAATTGAAGGCTGAAATTGATGACTCGAATAATACAGGTACAAGGACAGATAAAAATAATAAGGTTTAATAAAAGCTTATGCACGAATAGTGTACTATTATACTAAGCTAAAGAACGAATCACAGTAAGCTTATAATAATATATCGGGTTAAATATTAAACTTAATGCGATTGAATAAAGAAAATAAAGAAAAATACTGGAAACAAAATATGTATAGTAACTAATAAAACATGTAAAGTGATTTTCATCTTTTTTTTTCTTATATAGTTAGACTTTTAGTACAATATCAATAGGTGCTCTAATAAACCACTTCTATATATGTATATATGTAATATGTATATAACAATAGCACGATTTTTAGAAGAAATTACATGACAAATATATGATAAAGTACACTAAGCGTGCTTGTTACAAGACTTGGGGCATATAATAAATAGTGGATATGAAACTCACTACCCACCATCATTATACTAAAGTGATTGTCAAGTGTCAACATATTTATACTCCTTTGTTTAGATATAATTTAATTATTTATCATTTTACTTTATACTATTCTTCTGATTATATAATGTAAGAAATCTCACAAAATAAAAGAAGAATAATTAAGATATAAAATATTAAAAAAAAAATACAAAAAAGAACAAATATTATAAATAATTCAAGGATATTCGATAGATCAATATTAGTCTTAATAGAACTGTTAAACAAAACGAGTCATTCATAAATTCGACTTAAGCTTAACTCGAATTAAGAATTATTAAGTAATTTTTTATAATTCGACTCATTTAATATTGACAAATAAGAGAAGCTTGAGTTGGGCTATGAGGTGAGTTGAGCCAAACCAACCTAAGTCATTTCCATATGTCCCTGTCAATAATGGCATGGTGCCTCTGCTCTCAAATCAACAACCAAACAAAAGAGAGGAATTAAAATTCAATATAGTCACAAAAAATCTAGCATATAATACTAATTTATATTTTAATATATATATATATATATATATATATTCAAAAAGGTAATGATAATTGAGTGTGTACAGTGCATCAAGTTCTATATAAAGAAAAAAGGAGGTGCCCTCATTTTCATGAATTTGGATGATCCCATGCACCCATTACCATGATTCTCTTCAGACTAGTTTCTGTCTTCTTCCTCCTTTTTCTCTCTCTATCTCTCCTCTTCTCTTTTTCCTTCCCCTTTTAGGCAAACTCGTTTGCTTTTCTCTCACTAGCTAGCACCAAAATTATAGTATTAATTTAATTATATATTACTAAAAAGAAGGCCTTCTAAATTAATATAAATAGTGTTGTTCAAAGAACTTCTCATAAGTCAGAAAAACCATGTCGTCGCTTTTAGCTTTCGCTCCGCCCAGCGCCGCCCTTCTCCGGCCGCCACCCGCCGCCGCTCACGGCGGCCTGAGTTCCCCTCGTGACTCTCTGTGTAAGTTTTGCATATTTTCACTTTGACCCCCGGCCCCTTTTTTTTTTTCTTTTTCGTGGTATCCTTTATTTTTCTTAAAATGGTTTAAAAAGGAGTCGCTGTCACTTTTGTTTGGTTTGATCAGTTTTGTTTAAATGGTTCTAACGTTTGACGCTTCCTTTATCGTCTACTGTTTTCTTGTTCTCTTATGGTAAGTTTTTCATTTAAAAAAAAATATATATTTTGTGATTTGGACTTTTTAAGGTTGGTGTTAGAAATTATTCCAGGTGTTTTTCCATGTTGGAAGCCAGTAATTATCTCCGGTTCTCCCCTGCGGTGCCGTGCAGTTGCCAGATCTCGTACTCGAGGTACAAATTTGAATTAGCCACCACTATAATCACATAAAAGGACCTATAATTAATTAAATCATATTCATGTAATTCGATAATGTTGAGTAATTATTTTTTATTTTAATAAAACAAAAGAATGGAAAAAGGCAGAATATCTGGATGTGATTCACAATGACTTATCGACCATAAAGAGGCAAGAGATTGTGGAGGATGATACAGAAAGAGAGACTCATCACAAGGTGGGTACCTCAGCATTTTCATTTTATTTCTATTTTTCCTGCAAAAAAAAAAAAAAATTANNCNCANNNNCNCNAA